GAGCGCTTTTACTTTTAGTATTTTAACTAATTTTGATGCTAATACTTTTGTACTTTTACTTGAGTAAGATTTTGAATGCAGGATTTTTACTTTACATTTTTTATAGTGTGATATTACTACTTTTACACTGGTAAAACATCTGAGTGTTTCATCAACCACTGATTGATTATTTGTTTTGACATTTCTATCACCCAATTCCCATTACAGTTTATTTAGTTAATGGTACAAGATGATGTTAGTGCAAAGTCTGTACAAAACTCAAACGTGCCCAAAATCATAGTTAACTTTTCCCAATAGCCGTCACATTCCTATTGATTCCTATTTAAGTAATAAAAAAGCAAAGTTAGTTACAGTTCTGAGATGCCATTCTGTGGTTTGTGTTGCTAATCCATAGTCACAGCTACAGAATGAATTTCTTAAAAGTTAATATGACATTTATACTATGGTGGAAATTTTGTCTTCTTCATGCATATGCTTCCATAGTTTCATTCTTCCTATGTGTTTGCAAGTGTGTGACCTTTGCATTCCCCTTTTGTAAACATCTGACATCATCAAGAGATTTGCACTGACTATAATCTCGCCTTCAGAGACAGTCCATTGACTGTCTAACAGATACAGATGATTACCTAACATGTTATATACTAGAGTGCAACAGGTATGTTCTTCTGATGTAATCAAGAGAACATAATTAAGGCAGGAAAGCCCAAGAGAGCTACAATTGATTTCTCATCATCTTGTCGTCTGAGTGTAGCTATAAAGACGCCCTGTATTCACTGTTCTGGACACAAACTCTGGGCTCTGAGCCTAAGGTTGCGCCTTCTCTATAGAGAATAAACACCCGTGCATGAAGCTATTCAGTCTTGTTTGCTGACTCCCAAGCAGATCGGCTAAAAATTGCCACGACAATACAATGGATGTCAATGCCACACTTACTCTTTTTCCTGAGCTGTAGATATAAGTATAAAGATAAGCAGAAAACAGAAACCTCATCTCAGATATTTTGGCTCATGATGTTGTATATGGTGTACTATTCTTGCAGGATTGGAACTGTGGGCCCCAAACAGGAAGCCAAGGGCACCATCGAGTTCAGTCCCAACTTTGCCGGCCCCACTGTGCTGCTGGTGAACTTTGACAGTGACAAACTGAAGGAAATCAAGAGTTTCATCAATGTTGTTGTGAAAGAATGAGCCAGAACAGAAATCTAACATGAGTGACAGCTTTTTTATTTTGTTGGTTAGTTGGACTGATTTAGGTGGAGATTACAGGGTTGCCCGTTGGGGCTTTATTTTTTCATCCACTGATTATTTTTCATCTATATATTAAACTAGAATGTACTATGTTATTATCCTGTTTATGGTTATACTTTTTGCTTGATTAATTTCATTAAAAACACAATGATCCACATCCTCTAACCATTATGTACAGTACCTCTATTATTAGCTGCAGTAAAATAAGATAATGACATAAACAAATTAACTTTACATATATGATTAATATGGTGTATACATTTTGATATTGTACCATTTAAATGTGACTATAAGGCCACTTGCTGCCAAAGCTGAGTAAAGCAATTGTTTGTTTGTTTGTTTGTTTGTTGTCTACCGCTTTTTAGGAAACACATTGTTATTCATAAGGAAAAAAATTGCTAACTATAAATAAAATGTTTGAAAAATAAAAATGTGTTATTTGCTGTCTTGTGGTGTGTTTGTGTATCAGGCGAAGTAAAAAATATACTCAGCAGAGAGACATCACCATCTGCTGGACTTTTTGTGTCACATAATCCCTGACAGTATATTGATGAGCAGCTGATATTACTGACATTTGATTAAATTAGATAAGAAGATTAGAAATCATACTTTTTATGGTGAGCAAAGTTAGACATTTTGTAACACTCATTTTCAGGTAAAAATGTGGCTACTGTACAGCAGGGGTCACCATGATGATGTTTCTAAATACCTTCAATGACTGCAGTTGCCATTCATAACTGTTGGTAATGGTGCCATCTACATATTTTCTTCATGAGATATGTTAAAAACAGATCAATTAAAAAATGCAAGTGGACTACATTTAAAGAAATTAAAGCAAAAATGTCAGTAAAACATGCGGTCTGTACTGAGATAAGATGAATAGAAACCTGTTCACATAGTTCACATAAAGTAATTAAACAGTAATTTATTTTATTTATTTTTTTACTCTTGCACAGAGGCAGAAGAGGGTGGTGACCTCTGGGGCTTCAGCACTGAATCTTCTAGGTTTTTAAAATACCTTCAACTTTGTGTCACTTTTTGTTAATTAGGGGCCGGGCAGCCTAAGCTGCCAGGACCCTATTGTTATCCTGCATCTTCTTCTTCTTCTTCTTCTTCTTCTTCTTCTTCTTCTTCTTCTTCCGAGGAAATCCTACTTCCCATGCGCGAAAAATCACCAAACTTTGCACAAAGGTCCAGTCCCATGCCAGATTGCTTCAGCTGCAAACCCAGGCCAATAGTCCTGATGGTGGCGCTACAGCAAGCCTCTAAAGTTCAAAATTTTGAAAATTCAAAACAAATCAACCACACGTGCTACAGATTTGCAACTTTCACCAAAATGTAGCCCCAATACTGAAGAAACTTTTGTACATTTACACCTATTGCAAATTATGAAGTCCATCACTCTGGTTTTTTTTTTTTTTTTTTTCAAAAAATGCAAAACTTCTTAAACCTACCTCCTCCCACATTTTTTGCTCAATTGACACCAAACTTGCTACAGAGCATCTTCAGACTGTCCTATCCACACAGATTTTTGATTTATCGAAAATTGAGCCTATAGTGCATCAAAATGTTTGACTGTAAACGGTATTGTAAACATATACTTGCAAATGCCATGCCCATGCCAGATGTCTTCAACTGAAAACACAAGACAATAGTCCTGATGGTGGCGCTACAGCAAGCCTCTAAATTTCAAAACTTTGAAAATTCATAACAAATCAACCATATGTGCTACAGCTTTGGAACTTTCACTTTGAAATTTGCTTTTCCATGGCATGGATGGCTACTGTCTGGCACCCTGATGCTTGGCTTAGTCAATTTGTGAAGCCACACATGAACTGTCACTTGCCAATTATCTCAGTGAGATAGAAGACGGACCTCAGTCTCAGAAGTTGTGAGTTCAACCCTCAGCTAAGGCAGAACGGACATTCTAATGTGAAAGTCCTATGTTCAGGCATCATGCTATGTCGATTAGAGATTACCAAGGTTAAAATAGTTATGATCCAGGCAGTTTTGTGGCTATCCAATCTATCTATCTATCTATCCAATAGCTACTTTTACATTTTAAAAAATGTTTTCATCTTTGTCACCATGGATATTGTTTCGCTATAAGCTAGATCAGGCAAGTTTGTTCATAATTGCTAGCAGTTAATGTTATTCTTACTTTCTTGTTCTTGAGTTTTTTCTTTCCTTTGTATATTATGAGTCTGATCACTTCAGCCACTCATCCACAATATGAAGGACATGCCATAATTAAATGATATAACTTATATGTTGTGATATGCATAGTTTTAGAATGTGTGTTGCTCAGAATTGCCTAATTTTGCCTAAAATTGGCCAGCCCCGACCATTGCTGCGCAGCGGCTATAATCTTATTATATTATTTCCAAAACAAATCTGAAATAATTTAATGATGATATCATCTATAACTGTGGACTTCGTTATTAGAATCAAGGGGGGGGGGGGGCAGCTACAAATAGGCTACAATGTTCTGCTGATATGCCTGTGTGATTTGCCTGTATGAATATGTGCATATTCATCTTTGCCATGCAGGAAGCTATAGTCTACAAGTGCATGAAGCTAGATGGAGCAGTATAGTCGCTGTGCATAGACCTCAATAAATAGCCCAGATCATACATCTGTCAATATTCTCTCTCTCAAGTTGTATCTGTATTTGTCAGCTGATGAGTATCAAGAATTTGCAATACAGACATGCTAGAGATGTGTTTGAGGTAGTTTAGAAACAGTGGTACCATTACATAATTTTTGTCAGAGAACATTATGACAATTTCATTTCTCAACTATAAAAAGTCCTGTTCAATGCATATTTTGGTCACAATTTTTTAATCACCAAATTTAATGGATCCTTGTCAAAATGTTTATGGGTACGTGTCACATGAAGACAGTTCCGGCTGTTCTATTATCAGTTTGTTATTATCATTATTATTATTATTTTAAACTTTAAAATATCTACAATTATCCGCCTCAAAAATCCAGTACCAGTACCAATAACAACACTGTATATTCCAGCTGTATCTCCCACAAAACACTGCAATGGACATGGTCATAAGTCCAGACAATACACATGTGGGCTGGATGGACAAACTTCCAAGGGAAAGGCTTTGCAAAAGTCCTCCCAGGAGTTCCTGATACTGATAGTTTTCCTCGGTCAGTGCTTCTCCTCCGCTGTGAGAGCAGCAGCAACAGGTGACACACTGTGTCCCTTCTTTTTGCTTTACAGAAACCTCCCTTGAGATAAGTGGAAGTCATTGTTTGTTATTTTATTCATTTATTTGTATTTTAAGGGTATTTTGCTTTTGTAAGATAGTGGATAGGATATAAGGTGAAAGAGATGGCACGATATGCAACAAAGGTCCCAGGCCAGAATCAGACCAGGGGCATTATGATTATGTGATGAGCATTTTAAACCCTTTGGCCACTGGGATGGCCAAAATTAATATCTTTATTGCTTATATATTTACTTAGTTTTAGTTTAGTACTCTAGTTGAACTGAGTTAAGCAGATCAGTGGACTTGCGTCTCTGTATTTTGACAGTTTTTTTGTTGTTATATTCTGATTCTTTTCTCAGGAGAAATGTTTTTTTCCCTCTTTCACTGTTCAAAGGTCACGGGGCCAGTTAGTAGTCCCACAACATAAAGCTGACAAACTGAAAATCTGTTATTGGTGGAGTAACAGTAGCACTGTTGTAGTTTGATGCAAAGACATTTATTTAGCTAGCAGTCAGGTGGATCTTCATTACTCCACTTCATCATCCTCCACAGAGAATTGCAAGTTGTGATGAGGGGCAGCGTACTCGGCCAGGTTGGGGATACCATACACCACGCAGCAGCCCAGGCCGCTGCGGGAGATCCCCATGTCACAGACATCAGACCACTCACCGGTGTTGACATCATAGCGCTCAGCGTAAGGGATGGTGGTGAGGCCGTTGTAGCCCCCGACCACAAAGAGACTGTCATCGATCACTTCGATGCCAAAGTTAGTGCGGGTGCTGCTCATCATGGAGGGCACAGTGTGCCAGGTGTCAGTGTTGGCGTTGTAGGCCTCGGCAGTGCGCAGACGAGTGTTTCCACTGAAACCGCCAACCTTTAAGAGAAAAGTTAAAAATGTGATGTCATGTGATTTGTTTGCTTGGCTTTGTTTGTGAATAAATACTTTTGGAATTAATATTGCACAAGAGTGAATGAATCGTCAAGGACTGTGTCATTTGTCCCTTAATTTCCTGTGATTTAATGTAAATTGAGTCACATTATTTAACATAATTAATAATTATTATTCATTATTTCTGATAGCCATTTTGATACTTCGAGTGATGAGTTCCCAATAGATGGTGACCCACTGCGAGGCCTGGTCCCAACACTGGGGTATCAACAGGTTTTAGGATTTGCACAAATATTGTAATGTCTTTTCAAGAAGATGGTGGAAGGACTCAAAGAGGGAGGTTATATGGCACAGTCCAATAAGTCCAACCCCAGTAGGAAACTATGAAGAAAACCCTATTTTGATGTATAGGAGCACAACAGCACAAGCGACTACAGCAGTTCCACTTTTCCATATTTTGACATGATAATCGAAAGGACAGGGCACAGTAATTGGAGTATGCACAGCTGCATGTAAATGAGAAATTAGTGGAGTATTCATTTTCATTAGCTATGTGTACAGCTAAGTAGGAATATTGTCTTTTTTTGTAAAGGTCAAAAAACAGAATCTTTTGGAAATTCTGATAATATGTAGCTATTTACACTGAGAAATTTCCTGCCAGAAAATGATAAGAATTATCTGCACAAAGTTTTATTTAATGCAGCGTTGAGTCTCACATATAACTGAAGAAAACAAAACATGGAAACTGTCCATTGAAACCTAGACAAAAACAAATCCTTGTGAGTTATCAAAGAAAAACTGCATCTATTCAGTGTGTTCTTGTATATAGGTCAGCAACTTACAATTATTTTCATTATTGATCAATCTACTGATTGTTTATTTTTCTTCAACTGATAGTTAAGTCTGTAAATGTCTTGGATGTGTTTTAAATGTCTTCTGTGTGTGTGTAAAGCTGGTGTTGAGCCCTGTCGAAGACAAATTTCTGTTGCCTTTTGGTTCCAGACAATAAACTTTTCTATTCTATTCTAAATATAAGAAAATTCTGCATAATGCCCATTACAATATCCTAAAGCACAAGTTGACATTCAGATGTTTGTTGCTGATTGTTGTTGATCCGACCAACACTCCAAAACCCCAAAATATTCAGGAAAACAAAGAAAAACAGCAAACCATCTCTACTGAGAGTAACTGTCTCTGTGTTTCTGTGTATCAGCAGTGTTCAATGTGCTTACCACATAGACACGGTCTGCATAGGCGATGACCCCAGCTCCACTGCGCCTTTCACCCATGTTAGCGATCAGTGTCCACTGGTTGGTCTCTGGGTTGTAACATTCAGCTGTTGACAGGCACTCATTCCCATTGAAACCACCGCAAATGTACACCTGGAGAAAATTAAAGAGGTAATATGTCATCTTTTGAAGACTTTCACTGAAGGCAAGTATGCAAAAACATTAACTGAATGTCTTGTACAAAATGGGTTTTCTAGACTTATATTCCACATCATTTGGGGAACGGACCAGCCAGTAGCCAGATTAGCCAGAGAAACAAAAGAGGCAATTCTGCATAATGTGATGCTAAATTTTGGATTGGTAATGCTGCCTTTTGCACCATCATTTGGTTCCCACCCTTTTCTATTTAAAGGACTCATTTTCTATCATAGAGTAAACTGACAACCAGTGACAGACATCATAGATAATTCATATTATATTCAATGCAATATCATAACAGAACGACTAATAAACTGTACAATAAGTAGTGAAACAATAACTGCAGGATCTTTGTGTAAAATGAGAGATTTGGATGAATTTTAAACAGATTATTTCCTGTGAGCTGCTCCTTAGCTCCACCCACCCTGCCACGGAGAGCTGTACATTTGGCGTCACTCCTCTGCTCGTGCATGGGTGCAATGAAAGTCCACTGGTTGGATTTGGGCTGATAGCACTCAGCAGTTTGGAGTCGTTCATGTCCATCATAACCTCCAATGGCGTATATGGACCCGTCCATCACAGTTACGCTTACAAAGCAGCGTCTTGAATGCATTGGTGACACCTTCTGCCAGGTCTGTGTGCCCAGGTCAAACCTGTGCACAGAGCTGAGACGCTCAACATTGTCAAAGCCACCAATAGCGTAAACCGATCCATCTAGGAAAACTGTGCCATGGTAGGTCCTGGGATCCTCCTCATTGTCTGTTACATTGACCCAGCAGTCAGCACGGACATCGTACGCCTCAATGCAATTGGTTGGGCCGCCGTTGCTCCATCCCCCAAAAGCCAACAGGATGGCAGGGGGCAGTCGTGGGCGGGCCAAAGGGTTACAGGTAATGGAGTCACAGACTCTATTTGTTCGGAGGTGAAGCATGGTCTCCAGGGTCATGAGGAGAATTGGTTGACAGTCTTCACTTGCTTTCACCAGTTCGTTGTTGCTCACGCTGTCTGTGATGTATTCTGGACTCATTAAAGCCAGCCTGACCTACACAGAGACATGCGGACATATGTTAGAATTAAATTGTCTAAAATAGAGCCCAACCAACACTTCAGCATGGCTGATAAATGTTGATGTTGGCCTACAAACATCCAGTATGTTCTTGGCTCTAATCTGAGAGAAAAGATTAGTTAGAGGGGAAAGATTATATGGAAATACATCATATTGTTATGTTCTTTACATTATTTATCTCAAGGCTGATTGACCTTTACACACAATATTTACTGTAATTCATGAATTTAAAGTAAAGGTTGTCGGTCCACACAACTTCATTGATGTTATAGGCGATGTCACCACCTTATACTTTTAATTCAGGTACAGACCTGTCTGGCTTCTCACCATATAATCTTTCTTACCTACCAAATTCTTCCAAAATGTCCCATAAGTAAAAAACATTTTAAGGAACTACACCTGACTGTCACATTCCTCATACTTCTATTAATAGATATTTCAGAATCCTACCATAACTGGATGTTGAAAGGGTTCCTACAGAGCTCTCATAGATATATCTACTTCTCTCTTTGTCCTAATTAACTCATTAATCGTTTTACATTTGTAAAGACAAGAACACCATTTATTGCTTGGTCTACAAAAGCATTTTGACTTTGTCCTGGCCTCTTGACTTAAAATCACCTGTTCTGGAATGTAAAAGATGTGAATCAAAAGTTGATGTCGTGGTGGATGAGTAAAGGTTCATCCCACACTTACTTTGGATAAAAGCAGGGGGATGTATTCTTTGCGTTCCTCAGTTGCGTAGGTGATCCAGCGAAGGATGGCTGAGAGCACCGTCTTCTCCTGCTTCACATTGAGTCGGTCATCCTCAATGATTTTGACAAGTTCCTGCGCAGAGAGCTGCAGGAACTCTTCTGAGGTGGCAGCAACCTCCTCAAAGCGATTCAGGAGGAAGAGGAACACCTTGTGTTTCATTTCAGGGGTGTAATAAAAGTCTGTGAACCACCACATGCCGATGCAGTTCTGTGGGGTCAGCTGCTTCTCCAGGAGGTCACAGCAGGCCTGTATAATGCCCTCGACAATGAACTGATCCGCAGCTTTGAACAGCTCCTTTACATTCTCTTGTGTCACAGGAACAGAGCCAGTGTAGGCAAACTCAATGATGAGCTTCATCATGTCAGGTGACACATTGGGAATATCAAAGACCCGACAGTCTTGGGTTGACCACTGGGTGAAGAGGTTTCTGTGGGGCAGGAAGGAGGTATATACAGGGTTAAAAAATAAAGTGGTTTATGTTTTCCATCATATTCACATTTCATAGAATAAGAATATAAATATTAATCCCATATTGCACTTTACAGAAGAGACGTGACTAACAGAAAACAAATGTAAGTGCATTACTGCTGCATCGAGCCACTGCACAGAAGGGATGGGATTTGAAATAAGGCTTTCTCTTTTCTGAGTAATACACAAAATGGACATCCAAATATTTATCAATGCAAACTGTCTGTTAGAGTCAAATTTTATTTACACATAAATATTGTAAATCCATTACTTACAATCACAAAGTCAACTCAATGGATAGTGCTGATGTTATTTAAAACAATGTGTAAATCAGCACATAAATGGCCCATCAAATTACATCACCATCATATTACAGTAATCTGTACACAAAAAGACTGACAGAAAAAATCAAATGAAAAAAATAAGCTCAGAAAAAAACAAAAACAATAAAAAAAACCTCATTTCATGTAAATTGCTTCATTAGCTCCAGTCAAACTGCCAAACTAGGAAGTGCCGATCAAATATAAACAAGATTCTGTTACTGCATTGTCTATTTCTCACTTCAGATGTTTTCAGAAACACATTTTAGTGTACTGTTTAGCTGTAGAAGGAGAAAGTTGATCCAGCTGGTGGGTGATGCGTGGTACTCCATTTAACTGTATTAAACATGGTGACTGGGTCACAGACTTTTTCATTTTACAGCTAAACAGTACACTAAATATGTCCCTGAAAACATTTGAGGTGAGAAATAGGCAATGCTGTAACGGAATCTTGATTCATATTTGATCAGTGCTGCCTAGTTTGACAGTTTTTATAAAAGTTACCAACTATAGCTTTAACTCTTTTTCACTGCTTAGCATGCTGCTGTTTTTCTGCTTATTTGAAGAGTATAAATCCAGAAGAATCCCCCTGTTAACACCCCATAACCAACTCACATGAAGTAGGGGCTGCAGTTGCAGAGGATGATCTTGTGCGCATGAAATTCAACACCGTCCACTCTGATCACCGCGTCACAAAGCTGTTGGTCCACACGGAGCTTATTATACAGAGACATCTTTTGTCTTCAGTATGAGGACTTGTGCTCTTTATATCTTAGGTGCAGATCTCTCTCACTGACTCTGAGCAAGTGTCTATCTGTATTTAAGACAGGATTCCAGAATGGATCATCAAAGAATGATGTCATGAGCAGCATTCTGCATTCTGATCACGTTCTATGGAACAACAAGTCACTGTGAAATATGTGGTGTTCACCTGTTATATTATTCCTTAATGCACATTGCACACTGAGTAGATCAAGTTTTACTGTTTCAGATTCACAGTGAAGGAAGTACAGGTGTGACCATGTTTCTGTAGCTGTTAATCCACAGACATACAATGCTGATCTTAAGCACTCATTAAAAAGCATAAGAATCTTAAAACCTATGTATAAAGTTAATGTTGTATGTTTGACAAACACAATTTCACGGGAAGGGTGTGGACTTCTGCACTCTTCACCCCTAATTTACTGTTCCACATTTGGCCAGTCTTTTCCTGCAATGCTTCGTCATAAAAATGGGTAACTGAGAAATTGTGATATTACCTGATGTGTGGGTTATTGAAACAAAATAGGGAAAGATAGAGATGATTTGAGTTTTGTGACATGGTGTGTTACCCTGCTGAAAGTAGCAATCAGAAGATGGGTACACTGTGGTCATAAAGGCATGGACATGGTCAGCAACAATTCTCAGGTAGGCTGTGGTGTGAAAACGATGCTCAGTAGGTACTAAGGGGCCAAAGTGTGCCAAGAAAATATCCCCCACACCATTACACCACTAGCAGCAGCCTGATACAAGGCAGGATGGATCCATGATTTCATGTTGTTCACACCAAATTCTGACCCTATCATCTGAATGTTGTGTCTGAACTCTGTCAGTATATTTACCCTTCATATTGACTCAATGCAAAACACACACACAGGATTTGTTCAAATGGTTCCAGTTTATTGGCATCCACTGAATCACTTTCATTACAGAAAAGCACTACCTCTACTGAGTCCTGGTAGTACAGTATGATTCTGCAGAGAGAAACACATACCACACAGCAAGTAAGTAAGAAAAGATCTAACTAATATCTACAATGAAGCACATCTGGGTCATAATGTTGCTGAAATCCCTTCTGGCATACAGTGTCTGTGTCTCACACTTTTTGTTTTGTCTTTAGTTTACTGCTGAATTATATTTAAATCAAGACAGCAAAATAATGGTTTAAAATTCCTCCCGTCTCCGTTCTTTAACATTTAACATCCAAAGCCACAGGAGGTTTATCTGACATTAGGGGTCAGTTAAACACACCAAAACAGTCCCAAATATCTCATTATGACAGCACAGATGACTGCAACGACTACATCCACACCTTTGTTTTAACAAACACCGCTGAAGCTGCTGTGATTCACATTTTTACCTGCTGTTAGAAACATGTTGTGGCTCCAGACTGCCTGGTGACTCCAATCAATCTGAGAGTTTACTGAAAAGTATTTGCAGCAGTATTTCTCACCCGAGCTTGTGCATCAGCAGGTAAAGTTACAGCACCTGTAATCCGCTTTGACTTTAGATAACACTCATCTCACCAGCAGCAGGAGCCGCCATCGGCCTCTGAGGGCTATATCACAATGAGCAGTTTGTCTAAGTAAACATCTCTGACCTTTTTATTATCCAACTTCTTACTGTTTTTCTGTATAGAGACAACTGAAAATCAAATATGGACAAATGATACATGTTGTCCTGGCCTTGACAGAGAGCTGTAAAGAAAATCAAACTGTTAACTCGCACTTCCGAATCTTAACATCTCAGTTAAGGGACCTGATATATTATTGTGTGGTTTGTCTCCTCATTTTAAAAAAGAAACCTGAGAAAGGGAGTTCAGCAGAGTTGAATTTTCTTGCTGCCACTTTAGCAAAATATTTCATCACTGAACATCCACACAAGGATAGGACTGGGAAATATGTCTGAATTATTATTCCTCATTTTAACATCATTGTGGGAATTTTGTATTGTGAATCTTTTAACACGTTTTTTTTTTTTTTTTCATTCTTGAGAATGTAACCGGATATAACAGTTCCTGTCTATTTCGTGTGTTTTTTTTTATACCAAAACACATCTTTGATATTTATTTCCATATTACCTAGCTCTACACACTAAAACTTAATGACGTTTAATATTTTTCCGTTTTTTTCTTTCAACTGTTTTGCCCTCTAATTGTATGAAGCCATAAAACTCAAAAATAAAATAACTTCTTTGTTAAAGACCAGGGGCCAGATGTATAATACAAATGATGCCTATGCACAAAAACTATGCACACGTCTTTTTCCACACATAAAGGTAGAATGTGCACACCTCACCATACTTAAGACCAGGCTTACACACGGTTTTAACTGAGATAGCAGCGAGTAATATGAAGGTAAACATTAAATATGAGGTGAGAGATGTAACCTTATAATTAAATATGGTTTTCAGGCTGTTTGCTAACTTCACTTATCGTTTAATTTTTGCCGACTGCACAGCGTCCTGTAAAACGTCAATCAAAGGTCAGTCATTTATAGACTTCATTTTATTTATCTTTTTTTCTAATATTTTCTGAGTTGTCTCCCTCTAAATGATCGTTTAATTTGATCCTGAATTGTGAAGCACTTTGTAAAGTCAGTTTGAGCACTATGTGATTCAATGATCATCTTTCCGATCATTAATAATCATAACGATTGAGATTTCACTGCGTCAGTGGTTTGCAGAAACATGTAACGAATTAGTAGTATGGGCACTATAAATATCTGCAGCCATGTATAACGACAGCTGCTCTGGCACTGTTGAAGAGCCTCGCTGATGCCGTTCTTCTCACTGACAGGTCTAACAGATAGTCGAGGGGCACAAATACTGATTACAAATTTATGTTTAAGGACTTTTCTGCATCCATTTACAGTGAATTGTAGCTGTGGAAAAGAGGTCAGTGCACCCAGCTCCACTGTAACTGAGGAATCGGGCGTATGTGCGTCTTTATAAATCTGATGAAAAGACTGCGTGTGTATATTTCTGCCTTTGTACGTACACATAGTTAGGATTCTTCAGTTTTATGCATCTGGCCCCTGGTTGTTTATTGGAAAGCAAACAATGTTTTAAATTGTTTCCTCAAACTTCCAGAATTTATTTTCTAAAACTTAAACCTTGTTAAGTACACACTTATTACATAATAACCATATTCCATCTGTCTAAATAAACTCATAAAAACAAATTGGGACTTTGAATTGAAAAGTTTAAGTCTGTAAATGAGAAAAACGCCTGCACGGGACACAAAACCAGAGCACGTCTATCAACTTAAACTATGGGAACAGAACCTACAGAATCACCGTCTCTATGCAGTGTTACTGAAATGAGCGTGCTGAGTAGCAGCTGTTGACCATGAAGCGTTCATGAAGCAACAAAAAAGCAACGTACACCGAACCCAATCTGAGATCTTCTCTAATTTTACACACACATCAAAACCACCTATGGGTCAATAAAAAGCCACCAACTGAAAACCAAAAAAATAAAACTGATGAATGGTACATCCTCTTCACAGTGTAGTCACAACCTCTGAGAATTTGGAGCAAACGGCCCACCTTTGCTCACTGAATCCACAATATACCACACAGAAAGACACTTTGATTGACACCTCCTGACAGCCAACATTTATGTCTGTCTAAGCTTTGCTTCTTTACCCCGCCCCTCCTCCTAGATCATTTCCAACATTAAAAAAAACTAACAGGAAACAAACTCGTCCCAAGCTGGTGAATTGGAATCCTTGTCGATCAAGCGAGTGCTCAAAAAATCCAGGCCTCACAGAGTCTCTGTTCTCCTCCGCAGAGCAGTTTGATTTCAACAAACCTTGTCTCTAATGTCCCTTCCTCCCTCTTCTCCTGTAGGTTTGGAGTTAGCAGGTGAGCTGGCTGCCGGGAGAGGTTTGACCACGTGTCCTCTGGCTGGAGACACAGCTGGAAGTGTTGTGTGAATCAAACATGGGGCTGGGTTTGGATGGGGACAGGAGGGGCGTGGGGGTAGTTTTTCTAAGCAAAGAAATCTCAGTCGGTGGAGAAGAGGTCTCCGGCCGATGGGAGCGGGGCCAGACCCCCGGTCACGTTGGGCAGGAGGGAGAGGTCAGGGAGGCTCTGGATGTGGGACTTGAGCTCTTTCCTAACTTGGGTCACTCTCGCCAGTTTCTGCTTATATTCCTGTAGAGGACAAGATCACACAGCACAGGTGTGAGCTAAAAATGTTTACTTGATTGTGATCATATTTGGGCAGCACTGCCTAGTTTGACAGATTGACCGCAGTTCACGAGCAGTGATGGACAGCTGTGTTAAAGACTCCTCGGCTCTGATAGGTTGTTTTTATTTACATTTACAAGTGTTGTAATACGAGCTTCTCTGTTCTTTTTTAATAGCTGCAGCGACCGTACGTGCATTTTAGTGCATGTGAGTGGCATCATTTATGTCCCACTGGCTAGGTAATCGCCGCTGCTCTACACTGCACTCATAGAGCTGTTAGGAGTGATAACACCATTCCAACCCATGATGGTCGGACACTGTCGTTGCAGAAATTAAAGTGTCCTGTTATACTCAGACAGGGATCTCTGTTTCACTTCGCGCTATGCTGTCGACTGTCATGTTTGTGTCTGTGGTGCCTTACCTCTAGTTTCTTCTCTCTCTCCATGAGTGCCTCCTTTTGGCTGCCGATGTATTCAGTCAGCATGCGTGCCAGTTGCCTCCGGTCCTCCAGCTCGGCAGCCAGTCGGCCGTTGTACTCTGCCAGCAGCAAACACGCTTCATCCACCGTCTTTGACAACTTGTCGGCTGCCTCCTTGTCTACAATGGCGCCACAGTGGGTTGTTAAGACCAGGAATGCACTTTCAACATTTCAATCTCTTTTTACTCTGATATATTTAATCAACATTTAATAAGTTATTTTTATTGAGTGCTGTATATTTTCTATATGGAGCAACATGTATCAGTTTATGATTCTGTGTTTATAAATGTAAATACAATTATTATAATTCATAATTGTTCAGTTTATTGACTGTTTTATACATAAAAGCGGAGCTCTCAGGTCTTACCAGTGATTTTCTCCAGCAGGGAAACGTCCTGGACTTCCTGTGGCAGGGAGGCGATCTTCTGACGAACTGCTGCGTCACCTGATGCAGCGTTCTCCAAGTCCTGTAGGGCCTTCACCAGCTCCTCTGTCTGAAAGTGTGTGTCAGAGTGTGTTTACAGGGAATAGAGGGCGGAGAGGGGGAAAATGATCAGGGAGGAAACCACGTCACAGACAAAACAACAGAATAAGAGAGAGGTAGAGAAGAGGGGTGAAGAACAAGAGCGAGGAGAACACAGAGAGAAAAAAGTGCAGAAAAACAAACCACATTTTACTTGTAAAGGTTTTTTTTTTGCATTTTGTGCCATCCACATAAATTACTGGCGTCCTACCAACTGAGTTGCAGAAATGTCTGTGCTGTGAGGGGAGTTGTGGCTTCTGTAGTCATCATCTTCATCATCTTCTTCTTCCTGGATCTTCTGATAGCTTCGTTTCACAGCCTTCTTCTCTTCTGCAGTCAGGTTTAGAGGCCAGAGCAGAAAAACACCCACATTATATCACTAAATTATGTACTTAAACCTACATATTATACTATAGATGAGACAAAGGAATAACAAATACCTCTTCTCGACTCCAACATTTGAAAGAAATTGTTTTTATGATCTTTTCCACTTTTTCGCTTTTAGGTTATTCTAAAAAGAGAACTCTTGAAATTTTGTCAAACGCTGAGGCAAAGTTAAAATAAAATGGCCATTCAGCTACTTTGAATTAAGCAGTCAAGATTCTTGATTCCACCCCTGAAGACAGGTGAAAAGTCAGAACTGTCATGTCATATGTCGCAGTTTCATATACTTCCCTCCCCTACATATGACAGAAAGTATCACTATCAATATAACTGATCCTGGCCCTAGTTTTATTTGGTATCAGATCAAAACCAAATTTTGTGGTATCACCCACCAATGGTAAATGCTTTATCTATGCGTGTAGTGATGTAACAAACAAATCATCTAACAGTCATCTAACCTGAAGGCCTGGGGCTGTTGGAGTCTTCGATGGCAAGTTTGAGCTGCTGAATGAAGTCTCCTCTGTAGAGGCTCCTCTCCTTCCAGATGTTCAGCAGTCTCTCCATGTGCTTTTTACAGCCCTCATCTGCCTCACTGTAGGGGGCCAGCAGAGTACGGAAGAAGAAGAAGAAAATTAATTAAAAAGATGCTGGGATAAACTGAAATGACCCTTGGTGCACTCTTTAGGAAGAAATGCAACAGCATATAGCTCAATATGTGTCGCTGACAGTGAATATGATCCTGTCTGTGTGTGAGGATTTTTTCTCTCTCTTATGCACTTTTGTGAAATTTCCTTTATTATTGCCATTGAAATTATTATTCTAGTTAGCTGTGGACCAATCATGGGACCCATCGGTTATCACCCAACAATGATAAAGCCTCTCTGGGGGGAAAGCCCGTGCAGCCAGCAGATATTCGAGTCAAGACTTTCTCTTCCATGCACCAGTCATTTTGGGTAATTTCTATAAACAGATATCTACTGGAGCTGGGGATCGCCAGAGGTCCCACAGTACAATATTCTGACATTGCATTTCAGCCAGTGCTTTCCACCTCTCCACACAGACAGTTTACCTGCTGTTCAAACATGATTGAACAATACTACTTGGACAATAAACAGACTACAAACAGAAACCAGAACACTTCCAACACCAAATTTTGTCCTTTCGCATACAGATAGGCAGAATCTGTTTATATAGATTAGCTGAGGACAGCCTGCTGGGGTGGGTCTGGGTGGTGGGATGGATTGGAAGAATGAATAGCCAGCAAGTTGGGAAAAGGGTAGGGTGGTTTTATATGTTGTATATTATACAGTAATTTTATAGAATGTACACCAAAATATTTTGAAAATATAGCAGATAACTTGTGCATAAAAAAAGTTCAAGATGTTTTAATCTGTTTTGGCGCTGAATACATTCAGCTCCAGTTTAGACGGAGAAACACGTGAGACAACATTTAATATTATGCCCCTTAATAAGTAGATTCCTTTGTAGAAAACTTAAAGGAAAAAAACAACCTACAGCTGTAGTGCAGGTTTTATGTAGGACTATGAATAGATACTGAACCGTTTCTCAATAAGCGTCTAGCAGCAAGCATACCACCTCTCTATACACACACAACTGTTACACACATGCAATCATTACACAGCCCATTATTTGTAGCCATCTGAAAGCACGCTATGGTCACATCACATTTACCTGGCAACATGGGAGCAGGCATCGACAAGTACACTCTCAAAGTCTTTGGTAAACTCAGGTCCTTTCTTCTTGCTGTTCTGGATGACATCATTGGCTAAATACAGGAACGTCAGCTTCCTGGAGCTTTTAGCTGAAGGAAAGATAAATAAAATAAAACATTAAACCATTAGTATAACCAAAGCACATCAACATTACCCATTTCTGACTATGTCATGGCGCCTTCCTCCTTTAGCAGTTTCAGTAATAATGAGTATTGTTTTACAAGTACTGTGTAAAAGTACCCTTACTGTGTAGGTATCACACACAGCACCGAACATTTTTGGGTCACAGCTTTTCAGATGTAAGGATTTGCTTGTTTTTCTCAACTTTATATCCTTGTAAATTGGGGGCTTTTGACTGGTGGTCACACAAGACTATCTGGTTTAAGGACAGTATTCTAGACACCTTACATGGCACAGGCACTTATCAGTATTTTTGGCAATGTGTAAAATCTGGCTATCCTGAATAATTCTGGATGCTTTCTCTACCTCAGATAAGTTAAGAGTAGGAAAGTGTAGCACATAAGGACACAACAGCTTGTCTTAAACACTGAAATTGAAATCACTGACAGTGTTCTCTCTACCAATTTCAACCTGTTACAGATTAATAAATCCACTAACCACTACTCAGTTCATCAGTGGTGAAATGCAGCTAAGGTACATTTACTTACGTACTGTACTTAAGTACAAATTCAACGTACTTTTACTTTACATTAGTATTTCCATTTTCTACTTCCATTTTATCTGCATGACAACTTCAGTTACTCCTGAGATAGCAAGCCTCCCTGTACAGTGAAAACCATGTGTGGTATTTATTACTTTCATTATTATTTATATTTAGTATTTTCCTCTTAATATTTGCTTAGTGCTTCTTCTGTCTAACCACCCTTAAAACATTAACAACAACCTGTTTGCATATCTGTAAAAGCAAGAATACTAGTATACCTGATTCATTGTGTTTATTTTGTTTTGTCTCATTTTGTCTATATCCACATTTCTGTCTACCCCCATGTCCGTATTGTATGTAACTACATTGATTTTTTTTTTTTGGACTGCATTTTGCACCAATGGGGTTAAAAAAAAAAAAGAAACCATGTGTCACCAAATGTGGTGATTTTAAATGTGAATGTTGTGTATTAAACCGGAGGATTCTTTGTGTTCAGTGTATTTAAAATGAATAAACTATTTAAAACTTCCTTGGATCAGCTGGAAAATGCATCATCATACTGAGGTGGACAAGAAAGGTGTATAAGAAAGGTCAGAGCCACTTGTATTTTCTCAGGAGATCAGATGTTTCAACGTCTGCAGAACCATGTTGCACATGTTTCATCATTCAGTGATAGCCAGTGTTATCTTCTACGCTGTAGTGTGTGCTCGGGGAACAGGGTAAAGGCAGCTGATGCTAACAGACTTAAAGGGATAGTGCACCCAAAAATGAAAATTCAGCCATTATCTACTCACCCATATGCCGACGGAGGCCCTGGTGAAGTTTTAGAGTGCTCACATCCCTTGCGGAGATCGGCGGGTGGAGCGGCTAGCACACTTAATGGTAGACGGCGCCCCAGACTAACGTCCAAGAACACAAAACTGAATCCACAAAGTATCTCCATACTGCCCATCCGTAGTGATCCAAGTGTGCTGCAGCCGCGACATAAAAAGTTGTTTCGAAAAACGTCATATGAACTCTGTTTTTAGCCTCACTGTAGCCTGTAGCTCTGACTGCTTCTCTGTGCTCCGCGCTCACGTGTGCGCGCCTGCGCGAGACCAGCGAAAGTATGAGCTCCACCCGCCGATCTCCGCAAGGGATGTGAGCACTCTAAAACTTCACCAGGGCCTCCGTCGGCATATGGGTGAGTAGATAATGGCTGAATTTTCATTTTTGGGTGCACTATCCCTTTAACAGGAGTCTTTAGTGGAGGTGTCAGAGAGGAGCATGCTGAGAAAACTGCCTCTCACCCCTGCACACCACGCTGGAGTCCTCAGAGCACATTCAGCTGTAGAGACCACTGAAGAGCACTATAAAACACTACAAGAGATTTAATCTACTTGTGGCCATCAAACTGTACAACTCCTCCCCCTTCTGTAGGGAGGAGAGCTGAAACAAGGGTACTGACAGCAATATTCACCTACATTAGGTGCATTATTACTTCATATGGTGAACATTACCACCTTTCAATATCTTGTGTGATGTTTTTCACAACATCATGTGCAATATTATTCTTCAATATCATGTTCACTTGTCTATGTGGTGCAATATCATTGTCTCAGTCACGTGCAATACTACTTCTCATTGTTGTATCATATTCAATATAACATTGATTATAAGGAGCAGTCTGTTTTGTTTTCCACCATTTTAGTTCATTTTTAGTAACTGATCGTACTCCTATTGTTACTCTATTAGGCACTGGGATTGCCTTTGCTCCTTGAAAACACTTCTGTCTGTATATTTTTGGTTGTCTGGTTGGTACTGTGTGTAGACTCACAAGTCACTCTTTAGACACTTTGCTTAACTAAAGACTGATGTCTTTCTCCCTGATTTTGTGTTTAGATGGGCGGATACAATTTCAGAGTTTAAAAAAACTCCCTATGTTGCAGAACCAATAGTAAATCTGCAGGGCTCGCTGAACTCTTGTGCTCGTAAACATAGTCCCACTAGAAACACGTGTAGCGGTACAAAATAGCTCAGCCGTGCTCGCAGGAAACGCCATCAAAGTTAGTGGATGTTTGTCGCGTTTGCGGCGACACATTCTCGCCAACTAAAAGAAACAAACATAATCTTTTACAAGGCCATGACTCATCTGTCCAGCCGGACTATAGAGGGAATCGCCTTGTTGTTTACAAATACTTCCGGGTAGAAAACCAGCAGAGCTTTTAGCTATATATACAGTACAGGCCAAAAGTTTGGACACACCTTCTCATTCAATGCGTTTTCTTTATTTTCATGACTATTTACATTGTAGATTCTCACTGAAGGCATCAAAACTATGAATGAACACATGTGGAGTTATGTACTTAACAAAAAAAGGTGAAATAACTGAAAACATGTTTTATATTCTAGTTTCTTCAAAATAGCCACCCTTTGCTCTGATTACTGCTTTGCACACTCTTGGCATTCTCTCCATGAGCTTCAAGAGGTAGTCACCTGAAATGGTTT